ATGGTATTAGATGATTTGTTTGGCTTCACTGGCTTCTGTGAAGCGATGACCTAAAATGACGCATGAGGCCGTTCCTGGAAATGGGAAGGCTGTTTGCAGCGAGCTGCAGTCGGGCTGATGGTGGGCGACTACCTGTCTCTGCAACTCCTCGTTAGTATAGTGGACAGTATCTCCGCCTGTCACGCGGAAGACCGGGGTTCGATTCCCCGACGGGGAGACCTAGCCCTTTATTGCTGCCCAAAGACCCATAAAAAAGTTTTGCTCCAGCCACGAGTTAAAGGAGGAGTTGGCCAGGGGCAAAAGGATTTGCGTTGGCCGGGAATCGAACCCGGGTCAACTGCTTGGAAGGCAGCTATGCTCACCACTATACCACCAACGCAGGCGGTTGGAAATAGACTGGATGCCAGTTTGTGCGGTCAGCAAGAATGCTCGCAAACATTAGCAGCTGGTAGGTGCAGTGGATCAAAAACTCTCTTTGTTTGGGTCCGGCAGTGGATCCAAAACTCTCTTTGTTTGGGCACGCCAGTGAAAAAAAAAACGCATGAGCTTTTTGACCTGACCTACCAGGCTCTTTATTAAAAAAGCAAGCTCTAATTTCTTCATATTTAAATTAAACACTTCATATTTAAATGGTATTAGATGATTTGTTTGGCTTCACTGGCTTCTGTGAAGCGATGACCTAAAATGACGCATGAGGCCGTTCCTGGAAATGGGAAGGCTGTTTGCAGCGAGCTGCAGTCGGGCTGATGGTGGGCGACTACCTGTCTCTGCAACTCCTCGTTAGTATAGTGGACAGTATCTCCGCCTGTCACGCGGAAGACCGGGGTTCGATTCCCCGACGGGGAGACCTAGCCCTTTATTGCTGCCCAAAGACCCATAAAAAAGTTTTGCTCCAGCCACGAGTTAAAGGAGGAGTTAGCCAGGGGCAAAAGGATTTGCGTTGGCCGGGAATCGAACCCGGGTCAACTGCTTGGAAGGCAGCTATGCTCACCACTATACCACCAACGCAGGCGGTTGGAGACAGACTGGATGCCAGTTTGTGCGGTCAGCAAGAATGCTCGCAACACATTAGCAGCTGGTAGGTGCAGTGGATCAAAAACTCTCTTTGTTTGGGTCCGGCAGTGGATCCAAAACTCTCTTTGTTTGGGCACGCCAGTGAAAAAAAAAAACGCATGAGCTTTTTGACCTGACCTACCAGGCTCTTTATTAAAAAAGCAAGCTCTAATTTTTTTCATATTTAAATTAAACACTTCATATTTAAATGGTATTAGATGATTTGTTTGGCTTCACTGGCTTCTGTGAAGCGATGACCTAAAATGACGCATGAGGCCGTTCCTGGAAATGGGAAGGCTGTTTGCAGCGAGCTGCAGTCGGGCTGATGGTGGGCGACTACCTGTCTCTGCAACTCCTCGTTAGTATAGTGGACAGTATCTCCGCCTGTCACGCGGAAGACCGGGGTTCGATTCCCCGACGGGGAGACCTAGCCCTTTATTGCTGCCCAAAGACCCATAAAAAAGTTTTGCTCCAGCCACGAGTTAAAGGAGGAGTTGGCCAGGGGCAAAAGGATTTGCGTTGGCCGGGAATCGAACCCGGGTCAACTGCTTGGAAGGCAGCTATGCTCACCACTATACCACCAACGCAGGCAGTTGGAGATAGACTAGATGTGCGGTCAGCAAGAATGCTCACACACTAATTGTGCGGTCAACAAGAATGCTTGCAACAAATTGTGTGTTCATATTTAAATTAAGCACTTCATATTTAAATGGTATTAGATGATTTGTTTGGCTTCACTGGCTTCTGTGAAGCGATGACCTAAAATGACGCATGAGGCCGTTCCTGGAAATGGGAAGGCTGTTTGCAGCGAGCTGCAGTCGGGCTGATGGTGGGCGACTACCTGTCTCTGCAACTCCTCGTTAGTATAGTGGACAGTATCTCCGCCTGTCACGCGGAAGACCGGGGTTCGATTCCCCGACGGGGAGACCTAGCCCTTTATTGCTGCCCAAAGACCCATAAAAAAGTTTTGCTCCAGCCACGAGTTAAAGGAGGAGTTGGCCAGGGGCAAAAGGATTTGCGTTGGCCGGGAATCGAACCCGGGTCAACTGCTTGGAAGGCAGCTATGCTCACCACTATACCACCAACGCAGGCAGTTGGAGATAGACTAGATGTGCGGTCAGCAAGAATGCTCACACACTAATTGTGCGGTCAACAAGAATGCTTGCAACAAATTGTGTGTTCATATTTAAATTAAGCACTTCATATTTAAATGGTATTAGATGATTTGTTTGGCTTCACTGGCTTCTGTGAAGCGATGACCTAAAATGACGCATGAGGCCGTTCCTGGAAATGGGAAGGCTGTTTGCAGCGAGCTGCAGTCGGGCTGATGGCTGGCGACTACCTGTCTCTGCAACTCCTCGTTAGTATAGTGGACAGTATCTCCGCCTGTCACGCGGAAGACCGGGGTTCGATTCCCCGACGGGGAGACCTAGCCCTTTATTGCTGCCCAAAGACCCATAAAAAAGTTTTGCTCCAGCCACGAGTTAAAGGAGGAGTTAGCCAGGGGCAAAAGGATTTGCGTTGGCCGGGAATCGAACCCGGGTCAACTGCTTGGAAGGCAGCTATGCTCACCACTATACCACCAACGCAGGCAGTTGGAGATAGACTAGATGTGCGGTCAGCAAGAATGCTCACACACTAATTGTGCGGTCAACAAGAATGCTTGCAACAAAGTGTGTTCATATTTAAATTAAGCACTTCATATTTAAATGGTATTAGATGATTTGTTTGGCTTCACTGGCTTCTGTGAAGCGATGACCTAAAATGACGCATGAGGCCGTTCCTGGAAATGGGAAGGCTGTTG